CCACCCGCACCTACCCCCCCCCTCCCCCAGAAAACCTTCTCGCTAACACAGCCCCATCGGGGCAGCCACTGGGCTGTTTAAGTGGCAGTATCCCTGCAGAGCCTCTGCACAGGGGTGAACACCACAAAGATTAACCAGGGGTGGTATTGGTCTGAAATAAAATACGTTCTTAATTAGCATGATGGTAGAAATCCATTACTGGGACATGAAGAGTACTTAATCTTACAAATCCAGATAATTATGTTCCCAGTGACCTGACCAAGTTTGATCAGTAGCACTAGTAGGGTTTAAAAACCAGGAAATCAATTCAGAGTTTAGATACATGATTTTTTTTTCTGACTTATACTGTGCTTATTAAACAGAAAACAAAGCTATTTTAATGGGATTCCTTTAGAAGCTATTTCCTTACAGAAGCTTTTTTTTTTTTTTAATTCGTAGATGAGAACCTGACACATTTTGTTATAGTCTGTAACCTCAAATGCATATTGCACTCTGTAGGAAACTCTCACTAACTGTAAGAACTATCACATGGCAAAATACAGAGCCTTGGCAGTAATATTTTGAGGCAAACGGGTAAACTTCTTGTTAGATCCCATACATATACAGTGTCTTTGTAGCACGTACAGCTGGAGACTGGAACATCTCAAACTGCCAGAGATACTGCATTAGTGTAAAGCTTTGATTCCCTTATATTTAGAATTGCCTTACCTTGGCTCACTCAAACAATCCCTTCATTTAAGAACTTCTGACCTCCAAAGGCTATCTGGACAGGAGCCTGTTTTGTAGTAGAGCATGTTGAACCTTGAAAACTTCCATTTTATTGGAAACCTCTGGATTCTGAAAGAAAAAACTGTTGTCCTACAACACTGCTGTTTTCGTGGGAACAGTCGGCTTAAATGCATAACTAAATAGGCCTAAATCTTCACGTTTGTTTTGTGACAGGGCCGCAAGCTCCTGAAAAATACACCGTTACCTGGGCTGAATAAGACAAAACACTATTCCTCAGCTTGAATGCATCTCCACTTCGAAAATAAAGATGCTACTAATTAGGCTATTACTGCTGATTTTAAGAAAAGCAGGTATGACTAGTAATTTCATTATGGTTTTCCTAGAATAGATTTTCTTTGAGGCTACTTAGGTGATTAAATCCTAATATTTATAAATCAGAGGGCAAAATTTATGAAAATTAAAAATGGATCAACAGCAAAGCTGTGCTGAAAGAAGTATTGCTTTGCATTTGTTTATGCAAAACCACAAATATTTTAGGATAATTTTATTTAAGATGACCTAAGAAAAACATTAGGATTGAAACCAATGACATCATTCCATTAATTACAGCAGTGATTATTTCAGGTAGCTTTGATCTTAGCATTCTGTTTAGAATTCTATAACACAATAGTAATGGAGAAACATTTTCATGGGCATTTCAGGGAAAGAAGGTGAATCCGGAAAGATACCCAACTTAGGTAAATAATCTTAAAACATGACTTTCAATGTTCCTTTTTCAAATCTAGTTGTCCAACTCGGCCTCCTCACTTGAGTTCTCTGTGCAGTATCAGCACAGTAACATAATACCATTTCTTTAACCATTTCTTCCATTAGGAAGATTTTATCGTAATGAGAAGGCAAAAAGAAATAACAGATCAAAAGTCAATCAATATATCCCTCAATAGGTTCATTTTACTTTTAGCAAGCCAGAGTTACAAGCCTTAGTCGCAAATGCATATTTCACTGCACAAATCACTGTCAGGTTGGTCACTGCATTTTCAGGTTGCTGAGCTGCTTTTGAGTTTTACATTAAAGGCTTACCCTCCTGAGCATTTGGACTCTGAGCTCTTTGGGCCATCCAGTTTCAATATCTGAGGAACTCCTTTACAAATACAATCACAGCAACAGAAATATCATTGAAGTTTGCACGTGAGATGGCAAATGAGCAATATTCTGTATAGATTATTTCTGATCTTTGGGGATAACTGAGGGTTTCAGCTTTTTGTGTTGGGAGTTCCCTCCTAGAAGCAAAATCCACGCAGGGATTGAATGTACAAAGAGAAAACCATGCAATTGCTGTGCAGACAGAAATATCCCAAGGGCAGGCTGTGGTAACAGCCTTGTCCAGACCTGGGGGGATCTTGACCCAGCATGTTGAAATGCAGTCAGGCCTCCATCTGAAACAGTCATCCTGGTGATAGCATTTCACAGAGAAGTGATGTCAGAACAAGGAGGAACAGTGACGGCCAAGAGCTTGGATGGGATTGCTGAAGACCTACCTTTGTATCTTTTGACAAACATAGAACCTGTTTGGACATTGAAAGAAGAATTTCCCATAGGTGTTAGGGTGTGTTTTTTAATCCTTCAGCTGCAATGACACTAACATAATTTATGATGGAGCACAGCGATTGCCAGATTATCTCCAAAGATGTATAGGTCTCTACTTTCGGACTCATCTGTTTTGCTAGGCAAGAGAGGAAGTGCCACGTGTTTCATTTGATTGAATCACAAGTTGGTTTTTTTCTTCTTTTAAAGGATGCCAATCTCTGAGAAGACCAAGCCTGCGCACTGATCTCTTGTCAGGACCTAAGCTGTTGAGTCTTCATACAGAGGGCTCAGAATCAAATATTCCGGGCCAGACACTGAACCACAGCCCTTCTTCCTCCCTAGTCCTGGTTTCAAAGATGCTGCACTTCAAATGCACCAGTACCCATGGAACCGAGGGAAGCTGCCCCCACACATCATCATGCATTGCCCTGGCACTAAGGCATAGCAGCCAGTTGTCTCCTACAACTCAGCGATAGCCTGAGTGGGCTCCTCTTCACGTGTATTAGAGCCTCCCCGGGGCACAGTGAAGCAAAACTGAGGTCTTTACAGTGCTTTGTCGCTATTGACTATTGCATATGTTGATACCACCGACACTTCTTCACAGTGTCATAGATTGATGTGGGTGACAGAATGAATGGTGCCAGAGGGATTCTCATGCAGATGAATTGTTCGATTATGGACTCTAAGGGTCCTGCATCATCTTACAAACTTGCAAGTGATAAACAAGCTTCACAGAGAAGTGCTCAGCTTTTCTGCCCAGCTACTTGTTCACAGTGGCAGGCACTTACCTCTATCTTTATTTACTTGCATTTGACTTCAGATAAGTTAGGAAGCAAAAGTTTTTTCTCATCTTTTTAAAGTAAGAGACATTTAATAATAAAAGAAAAGTCATTGCTTTCTATATAAACCTACTCTCTCTATCTTTATATAGATTTTTTTTTAATACTCCCATAAGTGAAAGAACTAGATGAGTGAATTTTAAGAATGAGTCTTACTAAAATATAGTAACATATGTTCTTAATGTCTTAGTGAAACATTTAGTTAACCTAAATAAATAGATAACATAACCAGAAAAATGAACAGACACACAAATGAAACACAAAAAAATGAAAGGAGGCAGAAGTCACCAAAAATTTAAAGGGCTGAATTGCTCAAACAGTACCAGAAACAAAATCACTCTTTCACAGGATTACACAAGAGAAAGCATTACAGTATACAGAAAATTAAGTAGGATATGTATTTTACACTGCAAAAAGCTAAATCAAAACAAGCAACAGAACTAGTATACACTTAGCTCAGCAGCTTAAGAGAAGAAGTTTGGTAGGGAGGGAGGGAGGCACTTGTATCACTCTATGGGTTTGAGCACCTGCTGGTAAAAGGCATGTAATCCATCTGCACTACAGCTGGCACCTGTGGAATCAGCAGGAGCCCTGCACGGCAATGAAAGGTGTAACCCTTTTTCTACCAGTCTCGACAAGGTTTTAGTTTTAAGGTTGCATGACAGCTGTTCTGCCTGTTCAGGCTTACTGCAGGCCACTGCAGGTGATCCTAATAAGAGAACATTTTTAGTTAACTGTGGTGGTGTTAAAAGACTTTGAAACAGCTGGATCAGAGTGATTAC